ACATCGTTTTGTGTGCACACTTTGCTGGCATATTGCAAACTGAGGACACAGTTTATTAAAATCACGTTATTTCATACATATGATTTTCGCAATCACAGCGCTTATGACAAAAACCTAAAAGTCTCTTCTTTTAGCATCCGTCTTCGATCTGTACAAAAATTACATCTCCAATCAGCAAGTGTATATTTGAGCAGCTCTTGACTGTCTACACAAGGTTTAATATCCGTTAGGGTTTCGATAAAAGCCTCCGTGACCTTTGTCTCTGAGATTTTTGACAACGCCTTGTCAAAATACATGCATAACTTTTCGTCTTTTTCCATATAGTGATACATTGATGTTTTGTCTGAGATAAATTTTCCATAATACAACCATCACAATTATCAACCACAAGTTGAGATATCATCATTGATATCTCTTTTGCGTAACACTTTAGCAATTTGTTTTCGATACATGAAAGCATTGAAAACGTCAAAGAGTAAAGCCCCTTACAGACGAGCAAGTTTTCTATGACAAGTTTTTATGTGACAAGTTTTAATTGTTCGTCTGTACGCGCAACTTTGACAATTTTTTCTGTGACAAGTACACTTGTTCAAAATCAAGTATATTTGATTTTGAACAAGTGTACTTGTCACAGAAAAAATTGTCAAAGTTGCGCGTACAGACGAACAATTAAAACTTGTCACATAAAAACTTGTCATAGAAAACTTGCTCGTCTGTAAGGGGCTTTACTCTTTGACGTTTTCAATGCTTTCATGTATCGAAAACAAATTGCTAAAGTGTTACGCAAAAGAGATATCAATGATGATATCTCAACTTGTGGTTGATAATTGTGATGGTTGTATTATGGAAAATTTATCTCAGACAAAACATCAATGTATCACTATATGGAAAAAGACGAAAAGTTATGCATGTATTTTGACAAGGCGTTGTCAAAAATCTCAGAGACAAAGGTCACGGAGGCTTTTATCGAAACCCTAACGGATATTAAACCTTGTGTAGACAGTCAAGAGCTGCTCAAATATACACTTGCTGATTGGAGATGTAATTTTTGTACAGATCGAAGACGGATGCTAAAAGAAGAGACTTTTAGGTTTTTGTCATAAGCGCTGTGATTGCGAAAATCATATGTATGAAATAACGTGATTTTAATAAACTGTGTCCTCAGTTTGCAATATGCCAGCAAAGTGTGCACACAAAACGATGTCTCCTAAAGCATCTTCAAAGAAAGAGGTTTTACGCTCAAAATCAACTGGGGTAAATGATTTACGTAAAAGAGCCATTAAAAAGAAGATAAATGTTAAAGATCAGAAAAAAGCCAAACTGCACAAAATCAAGAAACTCAAGCTCAAGCGAACGACTAACTATACTACGATACACAAACGAACTGAATTGGTGATTATCCGAAAAGCAGGGGAAACGTTGAAGTGTAAAAGAATCGAGAAAAAAACACTCACATAATAAGACGGCAAATCCGCATGCAGACAAGCCTTTATGCCTCAGCATAAATTTAAACGCCGAAATAAAACCAACTTAAACAAGATATTAGGAATGGAGCAAACAGACAAGCCTTCTATGACTATCAAACCATCCAAAACTGTGCTAAAGACAGTGGGAAAGATGTATGTAAAAGAATCGAGAAAGAACTGTTCATATACTAAGAGATTAAATGATATGAGGCTTTGGCAAGCGGTTATGGGATTGGAAGGAGCTGTGTCTCCTATTTTGGCCTTTTGGCCTTTTTGGCCCGATTGGCCTGTACTATGGCCCGATTGGCCCTAATAAAAGTCAGTAATCAGAGGAAACAGCTCATTTGCATCCTGTTCTTCAAACCGTAGACATGGCGAAGCGCGTTTGTCGTGATTGTACCGTTCCCAATTGCGGTGCAAAATACCTTGTAAGATTGGCAAATCATCTTGCGGATGTGCATCTGCTCGATATTGACCAAAGAAAGAAGTACCTACAAGAAGCCAAACTACAGCCGAAAGGGAAATGTGTTGTGTACAACAGAGCAAATGAGAACACTCTTGATGATGAGAACAGACATGAGAACAAACGACAGCTAGACGTGGTGTGTGAATTATTAAGCACCAAAAAGATAAGCAAGGAAAACAGCAAGCCTAGAGTTCTAAAGAGGAAAAACGACAGTGTTGAACATACAAAAGACAAGCCGAACAATATCCCAGCGAAATGGTTGCATTTTTAGACTAAACAGACGGGGTAGAATCTGGATCATTATACCACAAACTGAAGACTGAGAATAATCAAAGGATTTCTTTCAAATATTTATTAACTTTTACAACAATTTATTAACTTTCAGAACAATTTATAACTTTAACACGTAACTTAAGAGGAGAGTTTGTTTCTATGTAAACCCAACATTCAACATCAAACTTTCAAAACACACCTTAATGCATCCACGCATGCGTACAATATTATGATTTTATAAGGTTTGAGCATTTTCCACGCATAGAAAAAACCTCCTCTTAATATAAATAAACATGTAACTTCAATTTATAAACACGTAACATTGTAACATAAGTTTGTATTTCATGCAATTGCAATGATTTATAACTTTAAAACGTCTAACTTATGTATTGTTCAACAACAATAAAACTTGATATTTCACTCGTCTGTGCTTATGATTTGGTAATGTCCATAAGCAAGAGTGTTCACTCCATCGTTTATAATATAGCGTTTGTCGTCATAAGGGCTAAGACCAATCTTGTTCAATTTAATGGAGTAGATTTCATGGCGTTCACTTCGAATCTGATTCATGCTGGCCATTGTCCGTTTCTTATCAAACAAACATTCCTTGTAGTTGGTGTGCCGAAGCTTTCGTTTCGTGACGGACTTCTTTATTCCTTTAGCCGTTTTCTTCTCCACTTGCTTGTCGTTTTCGGTATAGAGAATGGAGTACATCTTCGGTCGCAAACCAACAAACTCTTGGATGGGTATGCCATGCGTTTCATCTTTCATTTTGCCAAGGACTTTCTTGTTCGTCAGGCTGTGCAGTGGATGGTCTCGTGCGTATTCGGATGTGTCAAAGAGATCGATGTCTTGCAACATGTCTTGATAAACGTCGTCGGTCTTAATCTCGTAACAAAGGCTATCCGTGTCTGTGAACAACAACTTTGCGTTGTACTCATACTTGGGTTTCATGTACTCGTAGTGAAACTGATACATGAGTACTTTGGAGAGATCCAGGATGGTGAATCCGACGTAGATGGGGCGGTTTAGGTAAAGCTTCGTCTTCTTCATGTTGACAGCTGCCAACTCCTCTGAGAATATGCGGAAGTAGTCAAAGGAAGGAGATGCTATCAATTTCGATAGTTTCGTCTTATCGTTGACGAGCTTGACGTTAACGCGCTTTCTCAAATTCTCCATGGTTTTGCCGAACACCGAGTTATTCATCAACTTGTAGAAATCTTTCTCGAAGTCGTTTGCTGCATGTTTTCGTTTCTCGGTGTTGAAATCGATGTAGGTCTTTAACCATGGGCTTTGTTGGAATACCAAAACGCGGTGGATCTTTGTCAACTTCATGCCAAGTGCCAGGTATTGCTTTAAATTGCGGTAATGGACCACATAGTTGATCTTGTCTTGTAGATTCGGCACCAATTTAGACACAGCGCCACCACGAAGTTGCAAACTTTCCGACAGATCCTGGCAGTATGGTGACAACATTTCTGAAGAAATCTTCATTTTCTCAGGTGCTAGAGGATAATCGTTGTGAAGATCGTGTAATTCGGACGGATAGTGTAGGTCTACTTCCAATATGTAGCCTTCATCGTCATCGTCCGCAACGTCCGTGATGTCGAGTTCTGCAATCTCTTGGTCGGTTAGCCAGTCAAACTCACCCGTGGGTAGAGGTTGCGACATAGCCCAGCCATAGAGGTTGTTAGCGTCAAGATACATCACGTAGGAGGTCTCTTGTTCTGGGTCATAATCGGGAACGTATGGATTGTTGGCTTTACCATAGCGGTTGCTAATCATTGAAATTCCACCGCGAAGACCTTCTTCGATGAATAGATACATGTCTGGATCGGTCAGCAGCTCGAGTTCGACTTCAGTCATTTTCAAACACGCTTGCCAGGCTAGACCAGGACTTGTATAGAAGTGGCAGGGATCCAAGTTGTAGGCTTTGAGGCACACGCTTCGGAAATTTTCAAACACATCCGCAAGGAGAAGAACGTCCGACGTTAAGTACAGATCATGGTAATCACCCATGTTCCGACAGGCAAACTTGTTAAATACATTCGTCGCGTGTGCGTAATCTTCGTCTGAAATATGTTCGTCGTTCAACACGTTGTAGAAGGATTCCTTCGATGGTAAGGTTGGTTCATTGAATCTCTCTGTACAATCCATGTAGTCGTAGGGGTAGATGCCTTTTCTTAGCAGAAGGGATATTTTGTCGCTGTCGATATATTTCTTTAGAACGGGGAACTTTTCAACGCCGTCCTTTGCTAGATTAGATACTAGCTTCTCCAACGATGCATTCATGAATTGTAAGGAGTCGATATAATCCATATTATCGATGGAGAAGGAGATGTACTTTTCGGTGTTGTTTGGAATGCAGTTGATCTTCTTCTCTTTGAGTTTACCAAGTCCTTGCATTATGAGATGAGAATCATACCCACGTAGATTGTGAAGAATAACAGGAATTCGGCCGGTAAAACTATAGTTCAAATTGCAATCGTTGTGCGCAGCTCCGCGTACTTTCCAGAAAGATGACAATGGTCACGAACACGGTCAGAACCCAATTCATATCCACAAATATGACAATGGACTGCATCTTGAAACGCTTGCTCTTCTTCTCTCTCAATTCGCATGGGCTCGATCCAATCCAGTTTCTCTTGAATATATTTCTGCTCTTCTTCTAAACACTTCATAAATTCGTCGACTGCGTCTTCTCCACGATAAACTACAGGCGCTTTACAATACTTCTCATGGTCGGATACAACAATGTAGGAAAATCCACAAGGTTGGTGGTGTTGGTATTTTCAGTGGAGGATTTTTCAGGATTAGGATTAACTGAGTTGATCTTGGTGGTAAGACTTTCGAAGTCGGCGTAAATCACAAACGGAACTTTCAACTGTTTATAGTAGTCTTTAAAGAACAGTTGAGCATTCTCTTCAGTCGGGAGTTCGATGCGTTGAGCTGCATGTTGACAGCAGTGTGGTTCATGCTCTTGAAGCAAGTCTTCGCGGATAAATCCATGAAAGCAATAGCGGCAGTAAAACATCCGTGCTTTATGATGGTTTTGACTGTAGAGCAATTTGTTTAAATTTTAATGAGGCAGTAATGTCTCGCATTACCTTCAGAGTATAGCAACAAGTCAACATGATTGTTGAAGCGCTCTTTCGTTACGTAGATTGGGAATAGTACTTTATCTTCAAAGCCAATAACGTTAATTGAGATATTGTTCTGCTTTTCGAATCTGTTAATTTTATCAATAGTCACAGGAAATTCAATACCATTAAAATTTAATTCATCTTGAAAATTTTCATAGTGATGTAATCTTTCCGGGTTATTCTTCCAGTGAATAGGATGAAGAGCAGCAAGGACGGCCCACATGAAGCATTTGCTGTCGGAATTCTTAACGTTGATCACTGCTTTCTTTCCTGCAATAGTTCTAGGTAGTGGGACGTAACTGGATCCTTTTACTGGAGTATACTTGGCCATGCAAAGGTCAAGATGAAGGATTTCGTCTAATATCCAACCACTTCCTTCTTTTTGAAATAACACCAGCGACTGGACAATTTTCTGCTTCGCTTCATCCAGTTGATTAGACAGTTCGTGCTGATTAACTGTTTTCATACAGAGACTGCGAAAATGAGGCTCGGTTATTAAATCTTCGCCATCGGGTTTATGTTTTACAAACCGTACTTTAACGTTAACAAACCATTTAATACCCCGTTTCTTTCCCAACTCTTTCGAAAGGTGTTTCAAAATGGGCTTTGTCTTACCACGCAAGAACTGAGACATGTCGTGTTTTTGGTTTTTTCGTGGTCTCAGTTCGATTTTCTTCAAGGAATCTTCAAAAGCTGTTGTTGAACCGCAAGGGTTGTTGTCGTTTTCTTCAACCTGGCTAGCTGTTTCCCCTTTTCCAATTTGAATATCAGCTCGTGCCTTCTTTGGAACTGGACCGCTATCATCTTCATCAGGTCTTCGTATTAAGGGATTTCCTTGACAAGGAATTTGATGTTCCACTAATTTGTCGTGACGGTAGAATTCTTTTCTACAGTTGTTACAGGTATACGTAGTGATCTTTTGATGTCGCTTTTCATGCCGTTTGACAGCATCTCTTCGTGTAAAAGACTCATTGCACTGTTCACAGATAAATAACTTCTTTTCTCCATGGGTAGAGCGTTCGTGGCGAATTAAACTTCTCAACTGAGTGAACTTCTTCGAACAAGTCTTGCAGGCATAATCCATTCTATAGACAGGGTGAAAAAATACTAAATCAATGTAGCAAGCAATTTCACAGCTTGCAAGGGCATAGCAACTACTTGAATGGCGTAATAAAAGTGACTTCGTCACATTTATATATCGTAAATGATTCAGCTGACAACCGCAACAACTTTACTAAACCGTTCGTTGCATGACTTTCCCAAGGGGTACCTCAGATATTTCTTCATAGGTACAGCCAACAAGGGCACAGCAACTACTAGGAATCGGCTTCTCCGTTCGTCATATGACTTTCCCAAGGGGCACCTCAGATATTTCTTCATAGGTACAGCCAACAAGGGCACAGCAACTACTAGGAATCCGCTTCTCCATTCGTTGCATGACTTTCCCAAGGGGCACCTCAGATATTTCTTCATAGGTGCAGGCAGCAAGGGCACAGCAACTACTAGGAATCGACTTCTTTGCACTTATTAAATCATATCAGTTTATGTAATTCGCAATAAAATAAACTATTCAACATCTTACCTTGATGTAACTCTCTTTAACCTCTTTACGCTTTACTCTTTAGCAGCCTCTTGTTGCAGTTTACAATTTCAACTTTGTATTTGCAAAATTTGTTAGATTATATGCAGCTAAAATGCTCCTGCGGCTTGTGGTGCAAACATGAATATTTCGGATCATATGTAATTTTGCGCATGCGTTTAAAGTTTATATTCAAACGCGCTCGATCTTGCCTGCAGTTCAACCATGGGTTGCTAGGATACGGTGTAAATATTATGATATACGCATACATAATTAGAATTCATTGGCTAATCATTGTGTAAAAGCGGCAGAGCGTTAAATTATGATTAATGATGTAACTGCATGAGATCTCTAAAGCCTCTAAAGATCTCTAAACAGATTATAAGCAAATATAAATCACTGGTTTCAATGAGGAGTATAACTATAAAGCCTATAAAGTTTATATATGTATTGAACAACGAAAGCATAAAACGCTTTTACATGGAATGGCCTCTTCTGTAAAAAACCCTTGGTTATACTGCTAAATAATGATAAACATTAAACGAGTGCATTAGCAATGCAAAAATATTAAAAAATTTAACGCAAAATTGGAATAAATTAATAATGTTCAGCCGTTGGTGACGTCACGTGTGGTGCAAGGCGCACCACCCGCACCACCAGACAACTGTGGCTGAGCTTACGAACTTTGGAAAGTCGCTATGACTGATATGTAAAGGGATCTTCTGTTTGAGAAGAATATAGAAATTATGAGTCGTTAACTTCGATGGGAAGTGGAGAATGAGCGATATGGTATTGCTGCGAACCTGACAGATTCTTGGACCCCTGAACAACGCCAAAGTTTCATGAAGGACTGGCGAAACGATGAGTTATTCAACGATAAAGGAGAGCTTGCTTCGGGGTTTGCTGATACTTAGACGCCTGAGCAACAAAGACATCTTTTAACCGATTGACACTGTGTGATAAGTAAACCAGCATTTGTGTAATTTAAGTAAATAGCTGTGAAACAAACATATCCTGCGTATTTACGCTATTGTGCGTATTTACGCTTCTTTGTTTACCCCATTCCTCGCCCCTGCGCGTACTTATATGAATAATAAATTATTGCACAATCATTGTGTAAAAACAGGCAGAGCGTTGAATTATGATTAATTATATAACTGCATGAGATCTCTAAAGCCTCTAAAGATCTCTAAACAGAATATAAGCAATGAGGAGTATAACTATAAAGCCTATAAAGTTTATATACGTATTGAACAACGAAAGCATAAAAAGCTTTTACGTGGAATGGCCTCTTCTGTAATAAACACATGGTTATACTGCTAAATAATGATAAACATTAAACGAGTGCATTAGCAATGCAAAATTATTAAAAAATTTAACGCAAAATTGGAATAAATTAATAATGTTCAGCCGTTGGTGACGTCACGTGTGGTGCAAGGCGCACCACCCGCACCACCCGACGTAGAACCCCCACTCTCTATACTACTGCCTATACCAATTTCCGCGGTGTCGGTCTGCATGCATGCACGTCTGGTAGTAAATCCCGTGATAAATGTCTAGCAACAAATTCGATGTCGCCATTTTGGTTTACTTTGGCGTACATTTATCAAAGAAAACCATGAGAAAACTTGAATTTCATAGTCGCTTAACCCCCCAAGTTTTGCCAACATTTTGTTTACGTTTCTCTGCCTCTTTGTATTAAGGTTAAGAATATTTAGTTTGCTTGTTGAGTAAAACGATAGACTTGCTCTCTATTTTGAACTTAACCACCGTTTAAGCTAAACGGGCTTGATACAACCGGCCCCAGGTGAATATAACAAAACCGAATTTGTAAAATGGCGGCTAGCCGTTTTGTGGGCGTTTCTTACAAAGAAATAAGCTACTGACAAATGCAGTTCTTGTGTCAATTTACTTACTTGTGGAAAAATACCAAAACAATTATTCGCCTTAGGCTTAGGCTTTGACCGCTCGGTCATGCATTATCGGGGAATATTCATCCCCGATAATCACTTCGCCTTCGGCGAATAATTGTTAAATATTCTGTTATGCTAAGAAGATTTCTATTGAAAGTGAAATTGTTTTCAAAAGAAATTATAGCAGAATATATTAATATGGTCCCCTGAATTAACGCTCGATTGAATAACTAGCCCAAACAGACTGGTCGCCATGCGGCAACGCGACGCGAATTTTCCGGCAAAGGTTTTAAATTTCCAAAAGTAAATAAATTTTAACCTATGAGAATAATTTTATAGATTACTTAACGATAATGCATTTCTGCTGTGGTGTCCATAGATTTCACATTTTGCTGCCAGAATTGAATTTATATGCTCCTGAAAACGGAAAATTCGTGTCGCGTTGCCGCGTCGTGTTGTAGCATCGCGTCCGTTCTGTGTGGGTCTTAATTCGTCAGCTATCATCAGCAAATATACGACACGAATTCGCAGAATGACTGTTATCTATTATTATATATTAATATAATATCTATTATTTACTGCCGTTAATAATCTATTATTATATATTAATATAATATCTATTATTTACTGCCGTTAATCATCTATTATTATATATTAATATAATATCTATTATTTACTGCCAAGTAAAGACTTTGGAAAAGGACTTACGCTCTCCTATTTTATTAAACTCAATTTTATCTGAAAGTGGAGATGTTACAAGATATCAGTTATACATGCAGAGAGCGATTGCACGTAGATTTTTAAAGTTATTTCGGGAAAATATTTTAAAGGCGTTAAAAATTTAGAATTCAAGGCAGGCAGTGTTTATCAATAATATCTTGTTTCAATATACCGGTACAACGGCTGGGTTCTACTTATTTCAATATCCTCCAAAGCCTAGGTTCAATGTCAATATCTATCTATCTAGGTTATGATACGTGGCCTTTCACGTGGTTAGGCCGTATTCTCTGGCACGAAAAGTCGCTTAGAAAACGATTTTCGTTGCCCCCCTTCGGGCACTACTTGAAAACACGATAGAAAATTAGGATAAATTATAGAAAGTCTAAATTCACTTGTTTTCACCTTCACAAACCTGCAGTTTTCGAGCATTTCATCTTCGAAAAATCAGTAAATTTGCATGTTTTGCAATACACCGACGCCATTTTGATTCAGGAAATGTATCGGATACTTGGTGTAATATACGACATATATTGCAGATTCAGCAGTTTTATACCGGGATTTAAATGAAGTTCCCGGCATTTTTGCTGCGCAAGCAGGTTTCAACAAGGAAGCTTTGAGTGGAGTTTTACGAGGTTTTTCACAAATTTTCATAGTTTTTCTAAACTAAATTAGTCAGAGAAGACTTAGACAATTTTGCTTACACGCATCAAAATCATCCACGGGCGTTTTGTTTCAGTCAAGTTATATGAAATAATTACTACACAATTCCTTTCCTGCTTAACCTTTGTTTTATATTAACTACTTTTATAATACACACGTTTTCTCAACAAAACTATTTACAACATCTCAGTTTTTTTACAAAGTTAATTACCAACGCCTTTATCTTATTATCATCAATCCACTAAAAAAACGAATTTTTTGAGCGAAGACCCAGACATCTTTACGAAGTTGAAAGAGAACAAATTTCAAACATTTTCCTTATGAAAACGTGAGAGGACTTGTGAAAACTGCCAAGTTGGCCCAGTCTAAACTTGCTGAAGTATTGGAACCTGAATCTGGAAATCCAGAAGTCAATGTTATTCAGTCGATGAAAGGAAAATGCAAAACATTTGGCGATGATGCAGAGAGACAACGAAGAGCTGAAAAGTGAAAAAGGAGTCCAGAAAGTTCACATCTTCGGAAAAGATCAGAGTGTTCCAAAATAGTGGAAAAAGTGTTTAAGATCCGGTGAAAACAAGGAATCCCTCATATATTTTTTATGTGAACACTGGAGGTGATGGGACTCCTCCCGGTGGTTTTCCATTTCAACTATGTACGTAACTGCTAAAGAAAGATGCTATGTTTTATATCCCGGTGATTCCCCGAACGATAGTGTTACAAGTAATGAGGTGTCTTCGCTTCATAGCAATCACGAAAAAGCAGACACTCGTTTAATTCTACATGCTAACCACGCAGCAGCAACGTACGATAAAGTTGTTATCAAAATCCCTGATACAGATGTTCTTATACCTGCGATTACCATGCAACAACAGATGCAAAAAGAGATTTTCTTTTGACTGGCACGGGAGATGGACGTCGTTGCGTATTTGTAGCAATTATCTCGAAATTCTTGGGCGTAGATGTTGCTCTTTGTTTACCAGGCTTTCATGCTTTTACCGGTAATGGCATTAGCAATCAAGCAGCATCATAGTATCAGTGTTTAAGTGCAGAAATTGATCTTCCATCACCGGTTGGCAATGGCTGGACGTTTGACGATGAAGAGCTAGAGATAACTTGGATGACACGCCCACCCGCTCCGCGACCTTAAATTGAGTGTGCTGAGTGAAAGTGCAAGACTGGATGCTCGACCATGCGTTATTCCTGCAAAAAGGCTGACTTAAAATGCAGACCTATGTTTGTGTGGTGATTGCCAGAATGCAGTGGTTGAAGATGGTAATGAGAATAATAGCAGTTATGGCCTGGCTCAATCTGATGACGATGATGAACTTGAAGGATCAGGATCTATTCTGGATTTCGGAGATGACGTCGATGATGAGTTGTGGTATTAGCTGTCCGATTAAAAGGGTTTAATTCAACGTTTCATTTGTGTTTTGAAATCATAAGGCTCTTGTAATTCTCCCACAATTTTATTTGGTTGAAATTGATTTAAGATACGCAGTATGTTGTTTCTGTATTATATAGTTTTAACTATAGCAAGTTAGTTTATTATAAAGGAGAGTAGCATCAGTGTATGGGGTAGTAAGGTTGTAGGATAATGCGTTCTTTTCTTATTTGCAAAATTCCAGACTTTGTTGTCTGCCAATTTGTTATGTGTTTTCTTTTCGGGTCAAAGAAAGAAAGATCAGCAATGGAAGAATTACCACAATTCAATTCTAAGAAGAAAGAGAAGCGTTGGCTTTTAACCTGTAAAAGCGTTGCTGCAGCATGGGAGGGAGAACACGCTCCAGATTTTCCCAGATTAAAAGAATTGTGTAGTAATTATTTTATATAAATTGACTAGAAAGAAAACGCTCGTGGATTATTTTGATGCGTGTAAATAAAGTTGTTCTTATTTATTTGTAAATTCCAAGAGCAGAATGCTATAAAAAAATCACAAAATGTCGGATGTTTTTCCGATTAATTTTGTCTGTTCTCTGACTAATTTAGTTTAGAAAAACTATGAAAATTTGTGAAAAACCTCGTAAAACTTGACTCAAAGCTTCCTTGTTGAAACCTGCTTGCCCCGCAAAAATGCTGGAAACTTCATTTAAATCCTGGTATAAAACTGCTGAATCTGCAATATATGTCGTATATTACACCAAGTATCCAATACATTTCCTGAATCAAAATGGCGTCGGTGTATTGCAAAACATGCAAATTTACTGATTTTTCGAAGATGAAATGCTCGAAAACTGCAGGTTTGTGAAGGTGAAAACAAGTGAATTTAGACTTTCTATAATTTATCCTAATTTTCTATCGTGTTTTCAAGTAGTGCCCGAAGGGGGGCAACGAAACTGAACGATAATCGGCCACAGAATACGGCCTAGGTGTTAAGTGCCTAATTTATGACCAGTGCGAGTACCAATGGCTCCGGTTTATTCGATTTTTCTGATACGTGACGCGTAAACAAGAAAAAAAGTTTGCCTCGTGAACCATATGCTCGTATAGTCTGATTGTGATCGAAATTGCTCGACCAAAGTGGAAAAATGAGCGATATAAATGATAAATATAACAATAACAAATATCTTACCTTGTTCTTGACTTTTAAATTTGCTAAATGCAGTCAACTCAGGTAGTCCTTTGAATGAAATTTAAAATCGCAAAATAACTTACGAACCTTTCCGGAAGTAATAACCACCTGTAGTGACGAACGGTTCGTCGCACGTCACTACTTTGTATATATTACCGAATCAGGGGAG